TCCCCTCTAGCTCTGTTTGGTTTCTCCAGGGCTCATGATTCTGGGCACCAAGTCCTCTCCCTGATCCAGCCCGGCCCCTCCCACCTGGCTGAGCTACCAGGAAAGGCCCCAGGTGAAGAGACACCTGCCCACTCCGCCCACCTCCCTGGGCACAGCGGGAGGAGAGGAGGCTGCGGGCTGTGACCAGCACAGCCTCCTCTGATGACTTCATCAATGTCTTTGAAGCAAATTCCCAGAACTGCAGACACACCCATTGTTCAAAATGCGAGTAAAAAACGCATTCCTGTGGCAAAAAAAAAGAAACCGTGATTTCCGCCCACCCCTGACTCTGGGACACACCTGCGCACCTGGGGTGGGGGCTGGGCCAACGTAACAGGCGCTGCACATCCCCTGTGGCTCGGGCCACCCTGGTCCCCACTCTAGGACACTGCCTCCCAGGAAGGACAATGTCTCCAACTCCCGTTCAGTGACCCACTCTTCAGTGAGCGAAGGTGGACCCTGAAGGTGAGTCCCCGTCCTTAGTCCTGCGGTACACGATCTAGAGAAAAACAGTCACCAGATACACAACAACACCCCGCCACACGCTTCCGTTCTAGGGGCCACTCCCACGCAGACACAGCCGGGCAACAGTCCAGCCGGCGCCCAGGAGAGAACACCACAGAGCGTCTGAGAAGCACGGTTTCCTAGCGAAGGATTGTTTCTGCTCTGTTCGAGATTTTTAACTGCACGCCGTGTGATGATTTTCACTTCAGCGATAATTAACTCTCAGGTTTAAGGACTAAGCTCAGCTTTGCTCAAATATTTAATATTCTGCGGCCGACCTGCCATCCTGACCAGGCTCATGCTGGCCACCAGCATTTCTCCCGTGCTCAGGGGACATCGCTCCCCAGGACCTCAGGACGAAGCTCACTGCAGAAGGAGCAAGGCCTCCCCAGATGCACAGGGAGGTGCAGGATCTGGGGTCAGGGTCACTTGATGAGTTAAGGTGTCACTCGGTGACAGAAAGGCCACCACTCTGCTAAGAAAACCCCAGACCGAACACAGCTACAGCCACGCCTGCATTCACAACAGGACCAAAGGAAGCCAGAATTTATCCTAAAAAACTCCCTACAAGCGGACAAGTGATATGATTTTTACACCAAACATTTCTCTGGCCTTGAACCTGCACAATTCGTGCTCACCCCTGGGCAGGCCCTCAAGGGGACGTCAGAGCCCCTGGCCCTGGGCAGCTGGTGCAGAGCTCAAAGCCAGCAGCGCCACCGCGAGTCTCCCAGGCACTGAGCGACCCTGGAGAAGCCAAGCCCGAGGGGCACCTGGCCACATGCATGGGCTGGGCATCCTGGGGGTGCAGAGGCCAGGGATGGCCACAGAGACCACCTTAACGGAGAAGACCAGGCCCATGATCAGCCGGGGAGCCAGTGCCCAGACTCGGGAAGGATAGGGCTGGCCACACCTGCCCTCCCTGACCCACACGCGGCTGAACTGAGCTTACAGCAGAGCCCTCCTGGCGACAGGAAGCTGCCACTCAGGAATGTGGCCATTGGCACTTCGATCTGGAATGGTCAGCTGCCTGCTCCAGGTCTCCCCGAGGTGGGACAGATTCAGGAACACAAGGGGTGGCGGTCACCGCGCTTCCACCCATGTCACAGAAACACAGAATGAGGGAGTGCGTGTTCTAGCGCACTGCCCGAGCCCCAGCAGCTGCACACATGCAGGAGTCACGGGTACTCAGTGTCCCAAGAATTGATCCGAGAGTCAGGCAGGGCACCTCGGAAGCTGAGCCAAGCCCTGGAGCCCCCACCCCAGCTGTGACAACAAAAGCCGCCTTCAGATACTGTCCTATATCCTCTGGGGGCCAAACCACCCTAGCGGAGAGCCGCTTGGAAAAAACCTTTCATGTTCTGAACCGAAATTTCTGCACTTATAAAACAGGGCCGCAGAGCCAGTGGGAGGACTGAGCGAGAGATACAGGCAGTGCTGTCTACACAGTGACCAGCACAGCGATGTGCTCAGTGAAAGCCTGTTGTAAGTCTCCATCACCCGAGGCACTGGGACCTGGAGACCAGGAGCCTCATCCCGGTGAGCGGAGCATGGATGACACGGCAGCTCCACAGGAGGCAATGCAGGAAGCCACCAGAGGGAAAGGAGGCTTCTGGAACCTTCCCAGGGGGAGCAGGGAGGCAGGATGGCGACTCAGGCAGATGTTGATGGGGAGGCACGTGAGGGACAGGTGAGTGGAGGAAAAGCATTCAGACAGACGGACACCGAGGAGGAAGCCAGGAGACAGGAAGGAGGAGGCCGCAGCCCCAGCAGGAGCCCAGGGCCATGGGTCACAAAAACCTCCCTGTTCAGAGAATGTCAGGGGCTGAGGAGGGAGGGAGACGGCTGTTCTGGAACAACTGCGGGCGAGACACTGGGTCGCAGCTCCGTCCCCGGCCCTTCCCGAGGGCCCAGCAGCCCTCTCCGCCCCGCAAAGACCTGGCCTCTCCAAGGCCCAGACGGATTCAGGAACACAAGGGGCGGCCGTCACCGCACTTCCTCCCGTGTCACATTCGCAAGCCTTTCCGGAAATCACTGGTGCCCCCCTCTGCTGGCTGTGGCCGGGTCTCCGTCCTGCAGCCAGGAGGCCAAGGGCCCAGCGCTGCTTGGGACGATTCCTGCAACTTGAGGCCGGAGCTCGGCTTACCGGGGAGCGGTAATGGGGGTGGTAACGAAAGCTGTGTGACGACAGCGGGGCTGTCATCGTGAGTCAGCGAGCGCAATTACCGCTGCCAGAGGGGCCTGCGCCGCCGCAAAGACAGAGCAGGGAAGAGGGAGGAAGGGCAAGGGCGCCCAGGAAAAATAATCAGTCTTAATGAGTCTTATCTGCAGGGAAACCCGGAGGGCGCTCGAGATTCAAATTAGTCTCCTGCCAATCACAGTCTCCCCGGTCCTGCGGGCGATGACAGCCGGCTCATCCCCATCCTGGTCATTAGCCTCCTGAAAATGAGCCTCGTGACGAAAGGGAAATTGGAGGACTTCAGAAGTCAGTCCAGAAGTCAACCGAGTGCCCCAGGGGTCAAGCTGTCTTCGGAGGGGATGCGAGGGTCCAGTCCCCAGTGGCCATGGCTTTTGTCCTGCACCAGGCGAGGGCTGAGCTCACCGCACCCCGCTAGTCTCGGAGGAGCTGAGTTCAAGGGCAAAAGCCACGTTCAAGGGCAAGGGCGAGTTCAAGGGCAGCCTGGGCTGTGCTGCCCTCAGCCGGATGCCTGCATTCAAGGCAACCCGTGGTAGCTGCGGCCCCGCCGATGGGGGCTGTCAGGGTCCCACTGCACAGATTAACTCGGCCACCACCCAGTGGGCAGCCTGAGGTCTGACTGTGTGCGCTGCCCTGGTATACAGCAGGCACTTCATCAATACGCAGCCCCCGCTCGCTGTGCTGCGGGACCCGGCCTTGGCTTCCCCCTCTGAAGCGGAAGGTTTGGGGCAGCGCTGCTCAGCCAGCCTCGTGGCAGGAAGAGCCGGGGACGAGCGCCGCTCTCCAGGGCTGCCCAGCAGGCTGGCTGGCGCGTCCCAGCGGGCACTGCAGAAGAGGCGCAGGTAACAGCTCAAGGCTTTCAGGCACAGGGGCAGGAGGGCAGCGCAGAAGAGCCCCGCCGCAAGTGCAGCCAGGGAGGGCTCCAGGCGAGGAGCCTCTGGCCTCAGGCATGGGCTTCCTGGTCTTCCCCTCCTCTTCCTTCCCTCCTTCTCTCTTCCCTTGCTTCCTTCCTTCCTTCTTTTCTTCCCTTCTTCCTTACTTCCTCCCTTCTTTCCTTCCTTCCTTTCTGCCTACAGCCACACCAGGAACTCAGGATCAACACTCAGCAAGACGGATACACTCTAAGTACCTGCTAATACCTCCCGCCCTCGCCGCAAGCTCAGGAAAGTGGTGTATGCGCTGGGTAAAGCCCCTGGCAGGTAACGATTCCTCAGATGTTTAGACTAAACTCCCTAATCACGGACACAGTCCATAGAAGGAGCTCAAAGCCACCTCCGGGAGAAATCAAGCTGCACCTAATCCCCAAGGAGCTTTCAAAAAACACACTGTATTCCCCCGGACCGAGGTGAACCGGGTCTTCAAATGGGCCGCAGTTCTCCGAAACAGGCGATCAAAGACCACAGCGAGATTTGTGGCCGAGAAGGGGAGAGACAGTGTGTGTTTTGGAACTGCTCTCGGGTTGGCTCTTTACTTTTGAAAAGCAACCACTGGCTGCACTGGAAATGATTTATCTTCTCGCTGAGCCAGGACGTGTCCCGGTAAGTGCGGCTTCAGAGGCAGGAGGGTGAGTCACTTTCCACAGCGACAGTGAGGGAGGGAAACGACAGGCAACTGTTTTCAAAACCTGAATGATTAACGGCTCAGCATCATTACCCTGCTCCACTCTGCGCGCTAACCAGCTACACCCAAGCCTGGAATAAAGCGCTCACCCAGCCTGGCGTGGTGGTGCACGCTTGAAGCTGAAGCAGGAGGACCAAGTTCGAGGGCAGCCTGGGCAACTCAGTGAGACCCTGTCTTAGCAAAAGGAGGGTGGAGTGGGGCAAGGACACAGCTCAGTGCCTCCTGGGTCCAATCCCCAGCACGGCAAAACGCAAAAAAAAGTACTTTCTGAAATCGGGGATAAAGTACTTTAATTTTAAAACCACTTCTAATAGCACACGGCCTCTGTCCAGCCAGGTGACCTCAGGTGGGCTCACTGCAGCCTCCCCGCTGAACTCATAAAGCAAGAATTTAAGTCTACAGGGACCAGCAGGAGGCAGCCTTCCCCAGCGCCTGCCAACCGTGAAAAGCACCACTTGCAAGGCGGGCTCAGGGTGCAAAGAGCTGACCCGGCCCTGCACCCTGCCCTTGCCCACGTCCTGGGGGAACGGACAGAGGCGCCCAGGGGAGCTCCGCTCACAGGGGGACCAGGGCCACCCTTGCAGGTGCGGTAAGCACCGGTGCCCTCGGCCAAGCCCCCCCCCCCCCGCAAAGTGACACCTACCCGTGAAGTCCTCCAGGCACTCGCAGGTGTAGCCACCCTCGCGGCTGCGGCAGCGGCCATTGGGGCCGCAGGGGCTGGAGTAGCAGAGGTCGATCTCGGTCTCGCAGTAGTCGCCGGTGAAGCCGGGCGGGCAGCGGCAGCGCAGGCCGGTGATGGGGTGGATGGGCCGGAAGAGCACGGTGGTGGAGCTGATGAAGGGCGCGGAGGAGTCGAACCGCAGCACCGACACGCACTTCATGTAGTTCTCGCAGGGCTCGCGCAGGCAGATGTTGTCGTCGAAGGGCAGCACGCGCTGGGCGGAGATGGTGGTGAGCAGCGTGCGGTTCAGGTAGATCTGCTCCTGCAGGTCCTCGGACGGGAAGAAGCGGCCGCGCACGCCGCCCGGCAGCAGCGCCGAGAAGGTCACGTTCAGGATGTTGGAGCTGACGTCCGTGTCGTTCTGGATGTTGAAGACGAAGATGTCGTCCTTGGCCGTGGACAGCACGGTGGCCACCCCTTCCACGAACAGCGACAGCAGCGGGGAGAGGAACCTCTCCTGAGACATGTTCTCCAGGCGGACGGTGATGCTGTTGGTCAGCATGTCGTCCGTGATGATGGTGACACGCAGGGTGCACAGGGCCGTGACGCTGTGGACGCCGTCTGCGGGCACAAGGACAGCGGGTCACGCGGATGTCCAGGGGAGCCCCGGCTGCTGCCGGACGCACCTCAGGAACAGGCTTGACGCGTCCAGCGAAGGGGAAGCCCGCCTGGGCGCCCTCCCCTGACCGCTTTCCTGCCTCTGACGCCCACCTTGCCCTCTAAGCACAGCACCCTTCTCTTCACGGGGCCGCTTAGGGACCCCACCCCACAGCGACCACCCTGCCTCGGCCCAGGGCTCCCTGCTCAGGGGCCCTCACGTGCCCCTGGCCCCTGCCCGGGAGGCTGCACCTGCCAGGTCTGAGACGAGCCTGCTGCCTTTGCCTCCCCCAGCACAGCCATGCAACCTCCCCACGCCGCCCAACACAGCTCCCTGCCTGTGGCCCCTGCCTGGGCTCCCACCCCAGCTGCTGCAGGGCTGAGCGCCCTACAGGCAAAGACCCACCCACCCCCACCAGGGCCCTGCCCAGGACCCCAGACGCTCTCCTCACTTGTTTCTGGGAAGTGATGGAAAAGTTTGGGGGCCATTTAGAGGATGCTGTCGAGGGAGTGTGGTCCTGACAAGGTACCCCAGGGTGCGCGGAGCCCTGGAAGCAGCAGAAGCTCCGGAGCCTGAGACCATTCCTCTCCAGCACCCAGGGCCACAGCTGCCCCAGGAAGGACCCAAGCCACCTAACTTGGCCACACCACGAGGAGACGTCACCTCTCCGCGGTCGGGTGCTCTGGTGGTCACAGCCAATCTGGGACCCCCTCAGGCCTGGAGTCCCCCATTAGACAGGAAGACGGGCAGGGAAAGAGGCCAAGGGCCGCACCTGAGCTGTGCCGGCTCCGCTGTCACTTCGAGACCAGGCCGGGCACCCAGTGCTCCAGCTCAGCGGCCCTGCAAGGCTGGGCGTGGCGCAGAGAGAGCTGTGTGCACGGCCTCGACTGGGAAGGGCCCCAGTGAAGCCTCAGGCTCCTGGAGCTGGCACAGCCTCCCCAGGTTGCAGGGCAGGAGGCCTCTGGGCTCCTGCCGCCCGGGACACAGGGCAAGCACCACGGGCGGGCGTCACCATGAGGAAGGAGGAAGCGCAAACACGGGGCAAACCGCAAACAGGCACGGCCGCTGCGGTGCCAACCTCTGAGCGTCTGCCCTGTCCTCCCCGGCCACGCGCGCCCAAAGGGGGCATTTATTCCCATCGCCCACCCAAGAGCCGGACCTGCAGCCTCTGCGTCCCACAGTGTGACAGAAGAGGCTGCGGGATTCCGGAAGTTCAGCCTCCTGCCTCCTGGTGGTGCCCGGATGCCACGCTGGGGAGGTCACATGGCAGAGAATGAGGTGCTCTGGCCCAGAGCCCCAGCCCAGCGAGGCCCAAGACCACCGCCGCCTGGCCCTTGGGTGAGGACCCAGTGCTCACACCGCAGGGACGAGCCAGCCGCGAGCCCCACTCAGCGCCTGCCCCAGAGCTGCACCGTCGGACTGTCTCTCCCCCACGGTCCCGGACCGGGAACCTGCAGGACTGGTCCCATCGGGAGGGAGCCGCTCCTGCCACTCAGCGGCCGCTGGGTAAACATTTGTGGGCGGGTGGGGAGGGAACGGGGGAGTGGGGAGGACGGAGGCGCCCAGGGCAGCTTCCCCCCAGCACCGCACAGGCAGCATAGAGACTCGTTTTCCCACGCAAGCTTTTTTTGGGTAGCTGTTTGGTTTTTCTTAGCAAGAGCCCATGACAATAGCACGTGAACTGTCATAAAGCACTTTTTACCCTACAGCATGTTCTGAACTCAGGCGCAAAGGCCACACTGATTCCAAGCTAAGCCCTAGGCTTTCTTGGGTGCACAGGGGACCCCCGCATTAACTTCTCGGGAGACCAGGGACTTCCTGAACCCCAGGTTCCGGCTGCTGATGAATATGGATTTAGCTGTAGTGGGCTGGGGTGGTTTCTGACCCCACTTTCCAGGTACGAGTCCTTTGGGACACAGACCCAGGCAGTCGTCAAGGTCAGCTGACATAACACACGCCGGCCCCATCGACGCTGCACAGGACGGGACAAGGGCGGCCTCCCGCTGTCATGGGGACAGATCTAGATAAGGCGGCATTCGAAGGAAAAACTAACACTTTCACACAAGGCAAACAAACACCTCCCCGAGCCCAGAGCGCTCTTGCCGGTCTCCTGCGCGGCTCGCGGTTCTGTCTGCACCAGTGACCGTGTTTCATCCTCACTTACTTGTTCACTTACAGGTCTGGGGATTGAATCCAGGGTCTCTGTTCTGAGACCCGAGAGGGCTTCCTTCATCCCACAAAGGCAGAGGAGACAGACAGGTGCCTGGCCCGGGCATCGTGAGCGCTGGAAGCTCTGCCTCCTGGGCTGGGCCACATCCCCAGCTGTTTTGTAATTTTTGGTTTTGAGACAGGATCTCACTAAGGTGCGCAGGCTGGGCTCCAACTTTCGATCCTCCTGCCTCAGCCTCCCAGAGCGCTGGGATGACAGCGTTTGACACCATGCTCAGCTGTCAATGGTTTTGTTTTTTAAAATAAACCTTTTACCTCAGAACAGCTTCAGGCTCACAGAAAGTTTGGGAAGAGTGGAGAGTCCCAGGCCGCACACCAGGGTCCGTCGTACGAACACGACTGCACTCGTGTGGGGCGCGGAATGCCGACACTTATCCTTCAAAGCCCACAGCCAGCCGGCTGCCTCAGTCTCTCCCACCGTCCTGCTCCTGCCCAGGATCCCGGGTGACACTGGGCACCACGCTCGGTGTCCACAGACCTGGCAGTTGGAGGAACTCCACTCGGTCTCCAGAGGGACAGGAAGGGGGTCGGTGCTTCCTCCCGACACCTCGCCCTGGGTCTCAGATTCCGCAGGAGCACGGGCAGGCTGAAGCGTAGCCACCTGTGTGCCTGGATGTTGCTGGGGGCCCTGTGGCTTGTGCCCCACCTGCGTTCGGCGGCGGCTCCCACAGCCGGGAGGACGGTGCGGGGCCAGTGGCTCCCGAGGCTCTGAGGGCTCAAAGCCAGGCCAGCACAGCTCCCGCTGGCCTCCTCGGGAAGGAAGAGTCCCCACACTGTCCCCAAGGCGTGAGAAGCAGGCCACACGGACGGCAGGGCAGGGCCCGCGGATGCCCACAGCAGGGCCCTGCTCCGCCCCAGCGCCACCTGCGAGCTTCCAGGTCTCCACAGCTAACCCTCGCCCTTGTGTTAGGACAGGGCAGGCGCGTGGCGGGTGACCATGACTGTGCCCCCGAGGCAATGCCGTCCAGGGACACTGAGGCAGCGCTCACGCCATGTCCTGGCGGCCCCAGCGCAGGGGGAGCAGCATGGAGCTGCAGTTTGAAGACCTAGCGGCAGCTGGCGTGGCCCTGGGGTGGGCAGCGCGGCCAGTGCTGGGTGACTCGGGGGTGACCCAGCGGGCGCGAGGCGGGGAGGCGTGGCGTTTTCAGCAGACGGGACACCTTGTGAAGGCAGGTGACGTCTCCTGGGGCTGCCATGATGGTCTCCACTGAGAGCCTCCAACAGACATTTGGCCTCGTGGTTCTGGGGCCAGGAGCCCAGAGGCCTGGTGTCAGCCAGGCCGGTTCCCACTGAGGGCCCGTGGAGGATCTGGCCGCGCATGGTGTCTCCGGCTGTCCTTGTCATCCCTGGCCTGCAGACGCATCCCTCCCACCTCTGCCGGCACGTCACATGGTGTCCGTGTCTGTGTCCTCCTTAAAAGGACACCGGACACAGACGAGGGTCCAAAGCCAGCTCCATCACCGCGACGCTCGCTTTGACGACTTCTACCAGGGCCCCGCTTCCAGGCAACACCCGATGCTGAGGCTCAGGCGGATGTGAATCTGGGGGCCGCCAATCAGCCCAGGGCAGAGGGAAACGTGGGACGGGGGTGGGGGCAGAGCCACACAGCGGGTGTGTGAGGACCCTGGACTGCTGCTGACCTCAGGGGCTCTTGGCTCTGCAGGGTTACCCAGCCCTTCACAAGCTGGGCAGGACCCTTCAAAGCCAGGGACCATGCTGAAGCAGGACACGGGGCAGGCGTCGCTGAGGCCAGACTGAGGCCAGACGCAGGTGTGACATTTGTCACCTGTCCCCACCGTGTCTGGCTTCCTCTTTTCCGGATAACAAAGGCGGGTCGGAGCCTGCCTCTCCGGGTCTGGGTTCTGTCACAGACTCAAGGTGACAGGAGCTTGCACATGGGGCAAACACTCAGGGCAGGTGGGGTGGGCAAGCTGGTGGGCAAGGCACTGTCTCCCCTTGTCCACCCGCGAGGAGGGGAGGAGCAGGGGGGCACACCCAGCCTGGCCTTTGGCTGCACTCATGGGGTCTGCACAAATCACGTTCCCCTGTGGCCACGCAGGCTGAGAGTGCCAAAGGGGCAGCGGGGCTGTGCCTGGTGCCAGCCGGTACAGAAGGCAGTAGCAACTGCCCTTCACCCACCCCCACCGGTGCCCATCTCCAGCTGGACAGGGGAAGGGGAGGGACCGTCCTGGGCAGCCTCTGCCTTGGGGTCCTGCTCATCCGGACCCTGCTCCACACCTGAAATTTCCACTACGGCTCCACTGCCAGCACAGCCCCACCCTCCCTGGCCAGGCCCAGATCCTCCCTGGCCCAGCACACCCCTCTCACGACCTATTTGGGGGGCACTCACACTTCCACCCCGGGATCCGGGTCATGATTGGCCCTGCCTGGCTGCCCTCAGCTTCTTTCACCTAAGTCGATTCTGGGTGCCCCCACCCCACTCCAGACCCCTCCTCCACCTGTGCCCCCTGTGCCCCATGTCCCCTCAGAAGGGAAGCCAGGGCTCGGCACCAGGTTCCACAGGGATGCCTGGCATTTTCCTGCCAGGGCCTCTGCAGCATCTGGCCTGGGCCCGCCAGCCTTTACAGCCCACTTCAGACACTGCGAAAACACACATTCCGCACCATGGGAAGCATGCCCCGAGGGCGCCCCACAGCTGAGGTTAAGATAACAGCCCCTGCCAAGTGATGGGGTGCAGGCCTGTAATCCCAGCTATTCGGGAGGCTGAGGCAGG